CCGGGGCACGCGCTCGCGTCCGGCCGCGTCCAGCCGCGGGGGGCGGGGCCGGGGCCGGGGCCGGTGCCAGTGCCAGTAGCCGAGGGCGAGTGTCCCGACAGCCTGGGTCTGGGGGCCTGTGGCTCACGCTGCTGCGGCCCTTGAGGACAGCCCTGGGGTAGCGAGTGGGCGCGAGCCCGGGAGCCGTGAGCCCTTGCTGTCAGGCAGTGGCACGAGTCACACGTCTTGTGCGATCAGCCCGAGGGCAGCTTGGCACGACACACGTGCGCGGCGGCAGAGCAAGGTTGAAACGGCCGCGTGGTGAAAGATCGACTGGAAGCAGGTGCTACAGAGCAGAGCCCCTTGAGCAGCTCGTTGCTGCTGCTGGGCCAGAGAGCACCGGCCGGGCCCTGCCCCCGGGGCTGTCGGTGGGAGGAGAAAGTAGCAAGTTGCTGCTGGCTGGACTGTGCCTGGCCGGGGTTGGGGGGGGAACAGCCCCTCACCTCAGGGCTCCCCCAGCTACCCTGGCTGGGATACTGGGGGGAGCCAGGCCAGGCCCAGGCCCCTTGACAGTGGCAGCAGTAGCTGCCGGTTTCGCTTTGCAGTAGCTTGAGCTGGAGGGTGGGAGCCCCCTCGCCTCCTAGTCTTGGCCTGGCTCCCCCCAATACCCCAGCCAGAGTAGCTGGCAGGGAGGGAGGGCGTGTGGTGAGGGGGCTCCTTTCCACTCCCCTCCAGCTCTGGCCGGGCAAAGCCAGCCCGCAGCTCTGTGCTGCTTCCTTCTGCTGACAGGCCCAGAGCTGGGGGGCAGGGCTTGAGCATCCCCACAGCTGACCAGGGCTGGTGCAGGTAGGCTCAGATTTCCCAAAAGGTAAATGTCTGTTGGGGGCAGGGGGTGCTCTAACTCATGGTGCTTTTTATAAAGTGCCATGAGTTACAGTGCATCCCCTAAATGTCTGTAGGTATCTGTAGTTACCAGTGATCCTGGTGTGTGTGTTGGGGGGAGATGGGTAGGACCTGATCCCAGCTGGGCAGGGGAAGCATGAATCCCACACTGCCTCCACCTGGCTGGGATCAGGTTCTGGGGCCCTACACTGCCTCTGCCTGGCCCTTGCCCAGCCAGATTTGGCCTTTGGGGCTCATTACCCTCACCCAGCTAGGATTTGGCTTCAGCTGGGCAGAAACAGTGCTGGGCTCCAAGGCCTGATCTCAGCTCACGGGGGTGATGCAGGGCCTGATCTGGCCTATGGACTAGACCCACACCATTCATCTGGCCCACGGGCCAAAAGTATGAGCACCACTGGGATAAACCATTATAGCTCCATTAAAACCTGTAAAGGGCTATACATCAGATGAAGAGCTAACCCATGAGAAGCTGGACTGGTGTGAAATATTAAGTTATTACAGTAACACTTCTTCAAAAGAGTCATCAGAATCAGAAAGAACAAAATTGTTAAGTCCTTATATAGAGCTATCTGCAGTGAATGAACAATGCAGCCAGCACACGTTTGACCGACATTTACAATATTGGTGTTTGATTGAGGTCACCCAGTTTTTACACATCATAAACATCTCAACAGTCACGAGTTAGGTATCTGCATTTAGCAAGAATACCAAGAGAGAAATCTATCCCAGACCAAACACTTATGGAGGTGGTAAAAATATTCTGGCAGAGACCTCTCAAAATCTTTGAAGATTCAACTAAAGAATGAAGATGCACAGTGAGATGACTATTCTGTATAAAGCCTAAAAAGCTGCTGTTTCTGCTGTAAAGAACTGACAATGCTCAGAGGGAGAAAGACCATATTGACTTTGGGCAGGGCAGGCTTTAATTTGTATCTCATATATTAGGAAAGGATCTTCAAATACAACTTCTGTGCAAAAAAGTCTGACTACTACTGCAGTGTGAGGATCCAAACAGAAGGCTGGGAGATGTACAAGTTGTGACTGAAGAGACTGAGGCCAAGCACTGAAGTCAATGGGAGACAGAAATGCACATGAAGGCATGGACCCTGTTACTTCCTGGGTGTTTGAGAGGATGTAGAAGTGATTATCTGGGACGTTAACAATCCATGTTTGCATGTTTTTGAAACAGTTGTGCTTGCTAAAGTACCCATTGTCTTTCCCAGGTTGGAGATCAATGGACAGCTTTTCAATGGCTTCATCTGATGGAAGTAAAAGTTGCAACAAAATGGGTCCAAACCAAAAGTCTTTGCTTATATACAATTTCCACTGACTTTCAACATGAACAAGCTTGAATATGGTCTTCAAACTTTGACTCAAAATGATGTAAACAACATCTGGTGACACATGGCCTAAGTTCTGCTGTGACTCAGACAGAAAGGCCCCTTTGCCCATTGATTGTTCTCACTTAATAATTTGGTTCCGAGATATCCGTGATCACAGTCCTGAAGAGCTTGCTTTCCCAGTCTGACAGTTGCTGCACAAAACCCCGATTTGGCCTCATGTTTGTTTTGCATTGCAGGACATGATTCCAAGCCCTCTGTAAATACAGATAAAGAAAAGGAGATGTGTCAGGACCTTAGTGAGAGAACACTCCCCTTCCTCCACCCCCCCCAACTTCTAAGGATTAATATTGTTGCTTTATTTTATCATGGAAGTGCCTAGAAGGCCCAGTGGTAGATGCCTCATAAAAACATAGACAAAGACCAATGATTATATTAAAATCAAGGACAAAATTCTCTACTGACAGCAGAGGACTATAGGATTTGGCCCTCCTGTATCAAGGAAAGAGAGGATCTTGGTATGCCTCCCTAAATACAAAACAGCATAGCATCCTATTGACTAAACATACTTGTTAAAGTAACATATCTGAGATGTATTTATCACCCATGGACTCCTAGGCTAACGTGAATCTCTCCCAAGTCCAGATGATTCGTTTTCCTGCCCAGTCTGAGTTGGTTTATCCTGTACTGTTTTGGTGAACCAAAAGTAATCCAATATGGGCCAGATTCCAGAGAGAATGGAGGTGTAGGTATTTACATGGAAAAGTTTAGCTTGGTTCCCTGGGAGTAAAAATAGAATAGGAACAGCACTGCACCGGTCTGGTGAATGGTAATGCTGCTAATGGGACCCACCTGCAAACCACAGATTGGTCCTGATTTCAAAGTCTAAATTCAGTCACATGGAGTGATGCTGGATACAACTAGTGTCAAATCAGTGGTCAATGAAGTAAATGTAATGTAGTCACACTGTAGCCCACACAGTTGTATATGTATTCCCTCCACATTATACACAGCATAGGAAGCTACAGACACATACCAAGGCACTGGACATAGTTTAGATCCAGATCTGAACTTGCAAGCAGCTCTTTCTCTGATGGGCTGAACTGATATTCATATTACTATCTCTGAATGGTGCAACTCAGGCCTCAATCTACAGTACACATCATTCTCCACTGATCAGACCATAGGTCCATCTTGCCCAGTATTCTGTGCCATGCAGCGGCAGAGAGTGGATGCTGAAAGGGAGAGCGAACTGGGTCTGACCAGGGTTTTTCCCACTGTTCCTCTCTCACTTGCAGCTTCCAGCATTTAAGGTCTAGGAAGTTCTAAGGCTGCAGCAACACAGCACTGAAATTCTACTTTGGATTCCTGGGTTTGATGGCACTGTAAAATGCTGCTGATTTCTCTCAGTCATAAGGGAAAGAGCAGCCAAAGAGCAACTATTTGCAGCTGCCTACCTAGTGCCTGGACTGGCACTACAGGACATGGCACAGCACTGATTTATAATGACAGAGCTGTCCAGCCGTCCCAGAGTGAAGATCACAGCCATCTTAATTATCTGTGCTGGGCAAACTGTTACGTGGCAAGGGTGTGTTGCAGACAGTGCTGCACTTTACTCAGGCTATACCACAGAAATTGCTGACATAAGCCATTCTCCCCACATAAAACCAGAATGTCCAGTAGCAATTGGACTGTAATAAGGGTTGCTTAATGAGATTAAAGGTGAAATGATAGTGCATGGGGGTTTTCCTTGATCTCTGATTCTGGGGAGTAAGGGTCTAAATTCTCCAACCTTTGGTCCTATGAGTAATCACAAAAATGAGCCCCACTGACTTCAGTGGCTCTACTCATTCATTAATTGCTCGTGAGTAAGGGTCTACATGTCCTAACATGCAGTTTCTATTTAACACTCCTGTCTCCAGGATTCCTGAAGCCTTGCTAGAGCTTTTCAGGACCTCTGTCCAAATCAGACAACGGATTTTATTGAAAAATAACTTGAGTATATTATACTGCTGCCGTCCAAACACTGAGGGGATTTGTCTATCAGAATATTCCCATAGGAAAGCTTCATGGAACAGGACTCCGGTGCAGATCTAATTTTAAAAGCTGGACAAGGTATTAAGACAAAGCCATTGATCACAATGAAGGGAAATGGCAGTTGTCAGCCTTTGACTTTTGCACTTTGGGTGCAAGAACCTACAGTAATTTAGTAGGGCTCAGCCTGTGAGGGAGCAATAGTGAGAGGATGGTTATCAGTCCATGGGAGCAATTACATCCATATTGGTAGGGTAGCTTGGTAAGAATCGATGCCTGTGCTTTGCATGCAGATAACCTCTTCTGTGCTGGCAAAATCACCCCACAGTTCCCCTCTGACATGTATCTTGGTAGAACAGACCTCTTCTTGTGTTGCAAGTACTTACACAATCAGTTAAATGGCTAGACTTGTGCTCTACTTCTGTACAGTCTGTATTCACAACTCTGTGAGCCAGAAAGAAGTCTCCACTTTTCAAACAAGACCAAGATTTTTATGGGGGCTCCTTCCAAAGACAATGGCAATTGCCCAGGGGGAGATCAGCTACCACATATCCTGGCCTATACTAAGAGGGCAGCATAAGGTATAGACAACTTCTGCAGAATACTAAGACACTTTGAATGCACTGGGATAGGTCTTCAATCTTGTACATAGTGGGAACTCCTTATCTTTCCCCCATTATTTTGCTGAAGCTGTACAGAACTATGGCATTGGAGGTACTTCCCCTTTAATGTTTAGATGCCTATTCTACATCTCCGTATAATAACCAGGGGACGGGGAAGCAATGTGTCGTTTATAAAAAAGCCATGCTGCTGAGTCCAGGTTTACGCCAGAGTTTTACAAGGTGAGCCAGACCTTACCACACCCCTCAGTACTGAGGGACAAAGCTGGCTCATGGGAGCCCCCACAGTCTCTTTCTCATTCAGATCCAGGAAACAGGAGTTGCTTGGATTTTAATCCTTCCAGTCAGCCATAGTTGTTACTGGGGTTTGCTAGGGAACAGTACTTTTCTCACATTCTGCAATATATTATCACAGGCCTATAAATCAAACCCAGGCCTCCTCCTTGACATTATAGATATGTCTCTGTCTACACTGTTTTATTCATTGGGTACTCTGCATTAAATCACAGGTTGTGTTGCTCATTACTGCAGCACCTCAGAAGGCTTCAGCAAACGATATGCTCAGGAGACCCAAGAGACTCTCTGTGGGAGGTAGAAGTGTTGACATACCTTTAAGGGGAAAAAGGATGAATGCATGAGGAAGGCTATTACTGCTGTGCTGCTTCGACTTATACCCAGGCCAGAGAAAACCAGTACTGCTCCATGAGTAATCTGAGTATCTAAAAAGAGAAATTCCAGCAAGAACTAATGTCTTGAAAAGTCACATGCAGAGAACCTTGCCCACTTCTTTTAAAGTGAACTTTTGATTCTGAGAAAGGTGCCAGGCTAACCGTTCCAGAGACACAAGCTTTCTCAATCCACTAGATACATATAGGCAGGCAGTATCAGAGCAAGGTTCTCTACCACTGCTCCATAAGTTTGTTTTCACTAGGAATCATCTCTGCACTTAAACAGAGCTGCAAAGTTACCAATCAGTAAAAGGCATTGCAAACCAGTATCACCATTGTCAGAAAACTGTGTCTAAGGCTTGCTTATAGTGACGGATCAGTTGTGGGCAAACATCGCTTGTAATAGATAAAAGACTCTTTAACCTTTACATGGAGGGATCACTGTGAAGGACAGTGGTGGAATTCCACTGTCACCCCAGTCTGTCTTCTAGGACTACCAGTGGGGAGTAAGTGAATATAGCAGTGGTGGTGTTTTAACTGGGCTGTAGATAACTGTTGTAACAGGGCCCCTACCCTATTACTGAGGGGAAGAGGGAGCTCAGGGTCATCTGGCCAACCAATGCCCCTTGAAAAGACTTACAAAGGAAACGAGACCTGAAATAAAATGGACACCTGCCCCAAGTGCAGGTGGTGATTGACAGACCTAGGGTGGAAGTAGAGAATCAGGTGACTCAAGAGACAGACTCATAAGCTGAGGGGTGGACCCAAGGGGAGTAGTTTGGCTATAGGAGCTAGGACCAGCAGGAGGCAGAGCCAGCTTAGATGTCCTGCAAAGGAAGGACTCTGCACTGCAGGGAGGTTGGAAGAAACTCTGTACTGCAGAAGATAAATGCCTTGAGTCTTTGCAGTAGTACTATCACAGGGTGGAATTAACCCCAGCAGGGGAATCTGTTGTTTTAGCAGAAGATGCTCATGATTTTGCTTTGTATCAAGACTGGAGGACTGGATGTGGCTGTAAGGGGAGGTTCTGGAAGCCACCGAGGTGCTGCGGGGGCGTCCCATGCGGGGCACTTCCAGGGCTTCAAGTCTGGTGGGCTGCATCGGGCAGAAGCACAAACAGTTCAAAAGCAGGACTGCTGTGTATTGTAGGACTGTGGTACCACACAGCAAAGATTGGGGATGCAATCCCAGCCTGCAAGGGTGAATCCATGGATCAAAGGGTCCAGAGCTCATGAGGGCAAAACCAAGGGCTGAGGGGCCCAGAGCCCAAGAGGGTGTGAGTGAAGCTGGACCCTGGGAGCCTATGCCCCGGTACAGTGGACCTCAGGCACAGGGACCACCCAGCTAGAGTAAAGTGGGCTAAATCCAGGGAGCCACAGCCCAACCAAAACCCTGTTTGCTGTCTAGGGGCAGCCTCCATGTCAAACAATAACATCGAGGTCTGGCAGGTGGGATAACAGGGTGGAGTCCAGGTGGTGGCCAGGAGGGATGACTTTGTTGCCCCAGTACTGGGGTGCATTACACTGTCCACTGGAAATGACTAAAGCTAGCAAACTCACTTGGCTCAAGTTCCCAGTTGTTCTTCAGATGGTCAGTCATTCCTAACCTATGTCAGATGTGTGCCCATTGCCTAGAGCTGAAAGGCTCTATATCTTAATCTTCTTGCCCATTCAGAGGTCTTTGACATCATCTGACACCTTCTGACAAACAGGAGGTGATAACTTTGCAATGACAGTTCAGTGACTACTTATCTGATCTATTGTTATTTCTAACTGAATTAATTCTGACTGGAACATGCTGTTATTCCTTTTGCTGCACAAATGCCTGAACAGTGATCCTAACTGCTACTCAGGACCAGGTTCTGACACCAGTGAGTGTACTGGGTGGTGAGTAATTCCATTTCAATATTTGGGACCACTCACAGAGCAGGATACTCCTGGGTGAAGGGGCAGAGGGAGATTTCAGTCTGGTTCATTCCAAAATCTTTGCTCCTTCATCAGAAAGGTTTTTGGTCCACAACAGTGCACCGTCAGTGAGCAGGGGTGTTTGAGAGCAGGATTCCTAGTGTTGAAAGATACTGAACTTCAAGTCACTGGAGCTGTTTGTTTGCATATTGACATAATATCTGCATGCAGCTGAGACTTCAGTGGTTATAGCTCAAGATGCACCTACCTATGAAGTGACAAATATTGGGAAAAAAGGAAAACAAATCTGCATCAGGAGAATCCGGGACAGAAATATGAAGGGATTTTTCATTTTCTTCTGTGAAACTGAAAAAAGAACATATAGCAGATCTATTAAATGGGCCAATAAAGCAGTTTTGCACATTTCTACTTGCTAGAGCAAGTTAGTAAGTTATTAAGCAGCTGGGTCCTAGCACCAACCTGTCCACCTGTCTCTGACTCAAATTGGGTTAATCTACCCCACAGCCTTAAAACAGTTCCTGACTGCTGTCTTAGGAAAATAAGAGCTTTTGATTCTTATTCTCATAGTACGGATGGTCTGTAAATAAATCAAGCTGCTTTCTGTGTATAACCAAAGAGTTTGAATATTTTCCCATTTTATACCACATATGTATTTATGTATTAACATGCCTCTGTTCCGTGTTCTCTCTGGGAGGTAGAGGACGGCAAATACACTGAAAATGAGTATTCCTTTGATTCATGCATTTTGGAAATTTTCCTCCCAAAATATAATGATCACACACAAAGCTGTTTCCTGAGGTTTCTTACTTCACAAGGCATAAAACACTTCAGTATCTCAACTCATCAAGTAAAGGATGCAAAGCAATAAAAGAAGAATGTTCCAAGCTGGAACAATAACATTGGGTGTTTGGCTTTTTCAAGCTCTGTGACTTGTTCATTAGCTCAAGTGCCTTGTCAAATAGCTTTGGTCACAAGAATAGAGTAAAGTAGTGGTGTCAAACATACACCCTGTCTGATCTGCTGGGCTACCAGTGGGCCATGCGAAGTTAGGGAGTATGGCCTGCTGCAGAATTCGAGACCCTTTGCCCCGGCTGGCCCTGGCCATTGGTGGCCAGCTTGGCTCATTGCTGTGACCCTTGGACTTGCTCTCCCAGATTCAATGCTGCTGCCAGTCCACTGGTGGACCTTTCCCCAGACTTTTTGCTTCCTCCAGACCCCTTGCCACTGCTGCTGGACCTCTCACTGCCCCCTGAGTCCCTCACTGCCACTGCTGCTGTTGCAGTGGCTACAGCAGCTGCCCCTGTGCCCTGCACTGGATCCAGCCCATGAAAAGCTCTGTGGTCAGAATCTGGCCTGGGGCCCCAGGTATGTTACATACTCCTGCAGTAAAAGAAATTGGGACAGGGAGAGTAAATGATGGTTTTTAAATTTTCTTCTTAAAAGTTGCTTCAGGATGTTAATATTAAGTTCTCAGTGAAGAGTGTTGCTAAATGTTGAAATTCCACTATTAAACACCACACTCTTGCCCTACATCAGGGATGCTCAACTCTCAACCTCCAGGCCAGATCTGGCCCACGGAGCCATGTAAACTGATCCACAGGTCTCCTTATAGGTCTAGAAATTTGGCAGTGGGAAAGTAGTGGCAATTACCAATAGGCAATGGGAGAGTCCCTGTTCCCCTGCGCACCTCCTGGAGTAACAAGGAATAACGGCCATAAGTTGACTGAGAGTAGGTCCAGGCTAGACATCAGGAGGCATTACTTCACGGTCAGGGTGGCTAGGATCTGCAACCAACTTTCAAGGGAAGTAGTGCTCGCTCCTACCCTGGGGGTCTTCAAAAGGAGGCTAGCCGGAGTCGTTTGACCCCAACACTCTTTCCTGCCGATGGCAGGGAGTCAGACTTGATGATCTGCTCAGGTCCCTTCCAACCCTACCAACTATGAAACCATGAAACACTGCCACAGCTCCCCTGCCATCAAATTTCCAAGCCCCACACAACTGGATTAGCCCTAGCTGGGCCAGCCCCACATGAAGGGGTCAAGCCCTGTTCCCAGGTAGCTGGATTGAGCTGGGACCTGATCTGATGATGAGGCAACAGACTGGCCAGGGCCCAATACAACTGCATGGGTGTAGTCTGGCTGGGGCCTGATCCAGCTGTGCAGACACAACCTGACCAGGGGCTGATGCAGCCATGTGGGGACTAAGGCCCAATGAAGACACATGACCAGACAGGGCCCAATGCAGCCAAGTGGGACTGGGCTCTTGCCAGGTCATTCCTGAATAGCTACCTTGGACACTGGACCCATGCAGTTAGATCAGACATGGTCAGGCTGTTTAAGTGTGTGGCTGGATCAGGCCCCAGCTGGGCCAGGACCATGCACCAGATACAGCCTGTGGATGGACCTGGGACTGCTCATCTGGCCTGCAAGCTAAAAAGGCTGGGCATCACTGCCCTACATAGCATCATTCTTTCCAAGACAGGGTAGGCTGATGTTGTAATGCATCTTTGCTTTCCCACCTTTGAGGTGCAAATGCCAGAGCAGGAAGTACTGAACTGCTCTGGAAGTACTGAACTAAGTTCATGCCACTGCTTCTTGCCAATCTGCTGCTCTGGTGAATAAGAGCCTAAGAATACACAGTTTCTGCTAAGAGGCTCTCAAACTACATTAGTTGGCAGTGTTTCACATGCACACAACCACTGAGGTAAATCCAACTGGATATTTTGACTTACAGTGTTGCTGTGTCCTCTGAGATGTTGATTTGTGCTTTGATCTTCAGATCTTTCTGAATCTGACGGTCACAGGCTTGCCTCAAATTGCCCATATATAGCTTAGCAGGCAGTATCTCTACTGGATATGGCTGAAAGTCTTCTAGTTCCTGCAGAAGAGAAACACAAGAATCAGTAGAGAGTGAGGGCTATATTTCTACTTGCATTCACAGTCACTTTGAAAGTTCATAAATCTTAGCATTGATTGATTTCTTCTAATGATTCAGTCAGTGGTCCACATCCATATTCAATAACAGTGATTTGTTTAATCATTTGGACATTATAAGAAATGACAGTCAACACTAAATATAGTAAATAAAGTTAACAGTGTCAGAGCCGTGGTGGCCCAGGTTGAAATGGCATTTCAACATAAGATAGACTATGTCCCTTGTCATATGTGCAGGAACAGTGACACATCTGATTCACCAGTGTTTGAAGATGACTTGTTTCAAAGCCAAGTGAAATCACTTGCCAATTAAAAGCGCTGCACCTATGATTGCATAACACAACTCCACCTCGCTTCTCCTGCTCAAGCAAGACAATTTTGAGTGCAGCTTAGTGGCCTCTGGTTTGGGAAGCATGACGTTAAGGACAACATTTTATATCCAGGCCAAGAGCAGAAGGAAAGAGTACTGAGCTAGTGACTGGCATCGCTGCCCACCACTGAACGGCAACCAGCACTGGGCTAGAGCACAACAGCTGCTTAACAGAACACATTATAAAGGAGCTTAGGGCAAGAAGTAAAGGAAAATGTGGTATCCAGCAGAAACTGCAGAGAAAATGTAGGGAGATGGAATGTTATAGCATCATCATAAAAGAGCAAAACAGAAACATAAGGCCAATTTATTTTTTTTTCCTTTGCTGGTCACCTTGTTAAGCAAACAGATGACACTGAAGCACTGCCCAGGCCTGTGCTGCATTACTGATGGCTTTTGTTAAAGACCCATGTATTGATGTGTCACCACAGACTTTTTGTAAAGCCCTGCCCAAGATGTTGAAAAGATGATGATGATAATTCATAAGCTAGGCAGGATCCAGGCTGATCACTATTTGCAAAATAACTCAATATACTTCAGGAGATAAATCAAGTGATTTTGGGTGATGATACTGTATTGAAACAATACATCTGCATTTACAGTGGCATCCTTCATGAAGAAAGGCAGGACATATCTGGGACTTGTCAGTTGGGAAATGTTTTTCAGAATGAAGTGTGCTGTTTTTAAAATAACATGATAATATCTCAGATTCCTGTAACTTAAAAGGAATTGGAAAAAACATCTTCTGTTTGTTATAATTAACTTCACCTTCTGTTTAGTGAATTTCATCCATATTAAATCAAGTGCCCCAGATTGTTTTCATGAGTTTTTCCACTTAGTAATAGAGAGAGGAAAACCAGTGAAAAACAAATGAACATGGTTGTAAAAGAACAGTAATTAGCAGGGAGACTCAGGTGCAAAGGTACTATCAGAAATGATTTATAATTCCTTTTCTGAAGTTGGTTAGATACGAAGTTGATAGAGTCCCTTTAATTATTAATAGACAATTCCCTGGCATTAGCCAAATACACATGAAATCATTCTATTCATAGGACAAAGTCCTGGCCCTTCTCATCTAAGAAGCTCACCTGAGGCATCCAGAATATTTTCTGAGTTCTCAAAAAATGATAGCAGGCAGAGAAACGTTCATATCCACCTTTCAGGATGCGAACTGGGTGATGAGTAAACTGCTCTAAGACTCTGGCACATTGGACGGCAGTGCCTACTTCAGCATCTATAGACATAAAAAAGCACGTTTCCTGAAGGGAAATGACAAGGAAGCTAGACTTCGAGTGCCTGGGCTGAAATCCTAGCATCGCTGATGTCAATGGTGACAATTCCTTTAATTATAGAGGGGCCAGCTCTGAAGGACCCCAAGGGAACTGTTAAAAGTTACACTAAACTCCCCAGATACTGTCGCTGTACAATAACAACTAGGGATATCCTGTATGCACTGTGCACCTGTTGTCTGGAGAGCTACCTTTTTCCTATTGTTCCTTCAGGTCCTTTTTTTTAATGGGAAACATGACTATTCTTCCTCTGGTGCCTTTGTAGGTCTAGGTACTATTTATCATCCTGTTAATTCTTTGGGGAGCACCCTGCAGTGAAACAAATTACAAGGAAAAACTACTATTCTAAGTAATTTATGTTAGGCCAGCAAACAAAAGGCAGAGAAGAAAGAGGGAAGTGCTTAGGATAAAATTCCCTTAGTTGATGTTTTGACCTGGTGGAGGGGGAGAGGAGTATGGGGATGCAGATTTTACCTGCAGATGCTTAAGCAAAATGCCTGACTTTGCACACAAAAATAGTTTCACTTATGTTAAGGACATACTTAACTAGTTGCTGAATTGAGATCACTGGCCCATTGAAAAATAGGATTAGAAGGGATCTTATGAGGTCATTTAGTCCAGACTCCCTCCAAAGGCAAGTCCTATTTTTTACTGTAATAATGTAAAGGATTTTTTTATTACCTTCAGGTTAATAGTCAAATAAAAAGACTCACTTTTGGAGCATGAAGAACTAGATTCATCTGTAGAGCTGTCATCAGCAGATTCAGTCCCTAAAAAGCAACAAGTAGACAGAGTCAACAGCATCTGAACCTGGAAGAACGGTCTAATTTCTACTTGAAACAAATAACTTTGTAAGTACAAATTTTTCGGATTGGAAACTAAGTCTGCCTGAGTTCCCTGAAAGCAGATCTGTGGTTGTAAAGTCTAGGACAGAATGTATGAAAAACAATGAGAGGCACATCACATTAAAAAAAAGAAAGGCAGGTGCAACTGAATGTTCTTGTTAAGCAATCTGAAATGGGTATATCTGATAAGGGTAAATGAGGAATAAAAGTTATTCACATACCCAGACAATGGGTTTGATAAGGTTGTAAGGATCTGTCTCTAATCAGTAAACATACCTTCTTCATCCTCCTCATAATGATAATCTTCCAAGGAGCTGGTTTTGCCATCGTACACAACACAATACTTAACGCACTCCAGCTCAGCTGATTCAGGTACCAGGTATTCTCCTTTGGGACTCTGGCAAAACCAGAGAAAAATCCCATCACAAGAGTGCTTCCCCATTTTTCTCTCAGAAATAACTCTAGTAACTTCTTTCAAGTTATGACTGAAGAGTCATGGTTCTCTTTTGGCTATCAGGAAGTCAAAGCAAAAAGGTTCACCCAGGCCAAACACCCCATTGGGTTAGTATAGTTAAGACAGAACAGCTTTTTTAGCCAACGGCAAACAAAAGAGTGATGTGACTATCATCACATCCACAGCCTTTTTGACTCTTTGGTTTGAACTAGGTATGCAACTAATGGCATTCTTCAACTGCAAGAAGGTGCACTGCTAAGTGCACAAGGCCCGTTATTGGGAATTATGTGTCTAACTCCCTTAAGTGGTTTTGAAAGTCTCAAACTTGATAAAAAGTCAACACTTCCAAATTTTTCATAGGACTCCAAAAGTTAGAGATGAAAAAGGTCATCTTATCCTGGCAATATGGTAGATTATTTAGTGCTTTGCCTTTATCTAATATTAAATAATTTAATGTGAATTAAGATAGTTCTCTACCTGTTTAGGCTAATGCTGTCTCATTCCAAAATGCCAAATCCTAGAATTACAGCCTGTGGGCACATCCACACATACAGGCACGTGCACTCGCAGGAACTCAAATAGGAGCAGCACAAATTTGTGCCAGAGATTTTTGCCTCAGTGCACATGCCCGGAAATGCACTCTGGTGTGGGGCAAGTTGTGTCACTTGAGGCAAAAAAACCCTGCCCAGTTCCTCCCAGATCTGCAGCCAAGGGGAGCTACAGCCCCACAGCCAGCACCTATGTTGGCCCCAACAGTATAAAAAGCTGCCCTGGTGAGCAGCTTGGGGAGCTTCTGAAACTCAGGCAGTTGATATCTAGGCACACTAGCCCCTTGTGCCAGCTGGACTGCTGAAGCAGCCCTAACTCAGAGTGGTCCCTGCACACTCTACAGCAGTCTGGCAGTGGGGGCTGCTGCCTGACTGTGACCTTCTGCCACCTGCAACAGCATCCATCCCCTTGGACCTGCAGCCCCAAGGCTGCATGCCTGCCAGACCTGGATGGGATGCCCCCACTCTGCCATTTGGGCAGCTATCGCCCAGAAGATGTGTTCCTTGCAGTGGCCCACTTTGAACTGTCAAAGCATGTCCTCTTGGCCCCAAATGGCCAAGAGGTCAGCCACCTTGTCTGCCCTCCAACTGGGTCCCCAGTGCTGGCCCTGGACAGGCTCCTTTGCCCAGGTCTCACCACTTGTCTCACCACCAGAGATCCTATTGTTCCCTGTTTAAAAATCACAAATTCTCTGATAAGAAACCCAAATTCTCTCATTAAAATACCCGAAATAGTGTTCTTTCGCTCTTAAAATGAAACACTGCTATATAGAAAGAGATCAGTCAGGCAATGTTTTATTGATATATTTACAAGTTAAAAACAATTTGGAAGCCTACCAGTGCCTCTATCATCATAATAAAATAACTTCTAAATATCTATATGCTTTGGCATTTACTTTTGGGGGGTTTGTCAGAAAAATCAGAGCTGCCCCTACCCCTTTCGCTCATGGACTTCCCCCTCCCCCCAACAGGGCCCACAGCTCCCCCACACATGGTCACAGCCCCCCCACAGGGCCCACAGCCCCCCCCCAACACACACCTCACCCACAGGACCCACAGCTCACCCTTAGAACAGCAGTGGCTATGGGGTGCTCAGGGTCTGCTGAGGCCAGAGCCTCCCCCTGTGGCACGGCTGGCCCCGGCCACTTCAGAGCCAGTGCCACCTGTGCCGCTTGTTGCAGGTCTGGCCCAGTGTGGTGCAGTGTGGCATGGCACAGTGTGGCACGGCATGGCACAGGGCTGTGCGCCTTCAGGTAGCCCCGGGCCACTCGGGCTGTCACCCAGGGCCTGGCCTTGCTCAAAGAGACAGCATGTCATGCTGAACCGGGCCCTCCCTCCTTGGAACCGGCCCGGCCTGATGGCACATAGGGCCCATAGAGGCAGGACCCGGCCTGGCGTGACATGGTCCCTGTGAGCACGGCTGAGCCCCGGGTGGTAGCCTAACCAGTCTGGGGCTGCCTGAAGGTGCATAGCCCAGAGCCACATCAAGCCAGGCCAAACCCACGACAGGCGGCACAGGCAGTGCTGGCTCTGAGGCAGCCAGGGCCACGCCGCGCCGCAGGGGAACTCTGGCCACAGTGGGCTCTGGGCACCTCATAGCTGCTGCTGCTGCGGGGGTGAGCTGTAGACCCTACAGGGGACCCACCCCCACTGACCAGCCCCCACTACTCCCACACAACCCACCCACATCCACAGCCCCGCCCCCACCCCCACAATCCTCTCCACCATGAATCCCTACTTACCAGGGACAGTGCCCAGGTCACGGTTTTGTGCCACTCCTGCTTGCCCCACACACGAACACAGTGTGCTAGGGCAGAATGGGGCACCATATAGATGCTCTGGCCTGATGCCAGAGCATCTCTGAAGGTCCAAGCCTCTAACTGCCTCAGGGAACAGTGGGGAACTGTGCTCTGTGCTGCTTTTCTCTGGGAGGGGGGGTTTATTCGATACCTGGAAATCCAGGTATCAAATTTTGAGTCTGTGCTGCAAATATGCAGTGTGGGGAATATCTTTTCATTCTCAGCGTGTCTCTTGCACCGTCTCAAACCGGTTTGAGACACTTCAAGAGGCACATACATGCTCATCCGGATGCGCCCTGTGGGTGCGGCTATATTTGCGCTTTAATACACATTAGCCTATTTTAATGTGCATTAAAGCATCATTTAAAAACCTATGCTATGTAGTTAATGCACATTAAGCATCATTAAAAAACCATGCTCTTTAGTTAATGCACATTAAGATAGGCTAATGCACATTTTCCTAGTACCTCGCAAAAAAGGGTGCCTACATATGAGCAGAGAGACTGCTTCAACACACTGTAATTCCAGCACATCAGAGCAGATTCAATTAATCCAGTCTGCTGGGGTATGACAATTACTACGCTCCAGCAGCCTCCTGCATCTTGTGTATCAGCATATCTCGTGCTTCAAAATGGCAGTGGGGGCACTTTATCTAAAGCTCATTCGATGAGCTTTAGACAAAGTGCCCCCGTCACCATTTTGAAGTACGGGGACGCTAATACACAAGATGCTCCAGGTGCTTTAATTAGAGTGGTTCTCAGAGCATCCTCCTCCCCTCCCCCACTCCTGGAGCATGTGTATAAACACCCAGAGGTGCTAGACTTTATGCACATTAACTAAAATGGTTTAATGCACATGAAGACACATCCTGTGACTCTTTCCTGAACCAGAGTATTCAGTCACTGGGTTTGATCTGTCTGCTAGGATATGGGTGTGCAAAATGCCCTTCAGATGAAAAGTAGGAGTTGCTGCTCTGAAGAAATAGTCCCTCAGAGAAGCAGACACTGGGCTTGCATTGGTGCTTTCTACTGCAGAAAGGCAGTTTTAGCTTGCACTCAGGGCTCGCTGGGGTCACATTGGTGGCATTGTCTTGGTGACACACAATTAGAATATTCCCTCCTAGCCAGAAAAGCAGAGCATGAAGACAACATGCATAAATGATATATCGATTTGAAAACACGGCTTACTTGTTTAACTCTTCTCGCTGTAATCACATGGCTTTCATTGTACTCATGCTTTCTACGGGCATCTGACAACAAAGAACAGAATGTGAATGCCTTACAAAATTCCTGGTAGTGCTGAAGCAACATTGTAGCCATGATGGTCCAGGAATTATGCACATCAGAACTAAAGAAGAGTGCCTTGCATTCAAAAGCTTGTCTAACTCTATTCTAACTACATTCAGCTGGTCTAATAAAGATATCACCCTAAGAAATTCTTGCTTCTCACATTATCGAGTTTGTGTACTATAGAATCTGGCTGCCAACGGTGTTCAGGCACTGACTTCAATGACAGAAAGAAATGGCTTATTTAAATAGATTGCGAAGAGGTCAACAAATTTCACAAACCCATCACACACGAAGTCAGTGGCCAATGCAGGTCTCCTGATTCCCAGTACATTTCCCTTTCCCCTAGATCCTGCTGTGTCTCAGTTTCACGGACAAACTGAGCGGAACAAACATTTCAGAGACATATGGAAAATGTGATCTTATTCTCAAAAGTAACCGAATATATGACTTCAAGAGCTTCCATGTTTAGTCTATCAATTCACTTTCAGATCAAATCAGTTCAGAGGCAAAAAGCTATTTGTTGGGCTCTCAGCCTTGTGTACTCAACTTCAGAGCTGATAATTGAGCCACATTATGTCTTTCACATATCACCACCAATAATAAAGATCCTGCATGACCAGAATGTAATGTTCTTGCAGTGAGGTTGGACAGAAATAATGCAGAGCAGGATTTGGCGTAGAAGTTTGAACTTATTAATGACACAAAAACCAGACCAGAATCCAGTTTTCTTTTAAGACTAAAAAATAGAAAGGAAGTCTCATGGTATGGATCTGTATGGTGTGTAACTCATATGCAAGTGGGGTGGATCAAAGTGAAGTAGCAGCTAACATAAAGCAGGGAAGCTCTCCTTCATCTTAAACTGTCTTACACCTTCTGATAATTGTTTTTTCTGCCATATTTATCCACACAGCATGTAAGGTATGACATTCTCCACCAACTTCAAGACATATCATTCATATTTTAAATTACATAATCTCTGAATTTGGTACAGAAAAATGAATTGGTTTGCATAAGGACACCACATGAGTAGCAACGGTCGCAGTGGGAACTCGGCTTTTTCCTGAATTCCAGTCCGCAAGATCATTCTGCCTGTTCTGTCTTCACTGTAAATAAGGGTGTGTTTATTACCGTAAGATAGTTATTCTGAGATAGTCATCTTGACGTGAAATCCTAGCAGAGATTGTGCCTTATGTAATGGGACCTAGCCCTGTCACTGTGGGGAGAAGCACGCCCAAAACAGATGTAGCTGTGCCACAGCCGCATGGACTGGCTGGACATCCACGCAGGGGTGCAGTGGCAGTTGACAGTCCCCAGCTGGGGAACTGTTCCCAGCTGTGGGCTATCAGGAACCCTACCACCCTGACAGAGTGGAAGGGCCTGCCCCTGTGGGTGCAGGGAGCTAAGAGCAGCCAGCAGCGGTTGCATGGGGCTGGCTGGGGTAGAAGCAGGAAGGCAGATTTTCCCTCACCTAGCAAGAGCTCTGCAGTGAGCCTGAACCCAGACCTGGGCTGCTGGGAGCACATCAGACTCCCCACCCAGAGAGAGCAGCAAGGACCATAAATAATGAGCATAGGTAAGTGCAACCTTTTGCATTGACCTTTTTATTGATTTAAGTTTCACATTTGTGGACCCTGGGCAGGGAGCCGGGGGCCCTGGGGAAAGCCTGTGATTCCAGTGGTGCACCCCAGCCAGCTGCCTGGGGAGGCCAGGGTCTGGATCAGTGGGTCTCCAGCAGAGCCCCTGCAGCTAAAGTAAAAGGGGTCAGGGGGCCAGCTGCACGCCCAATCCAACACACCCAGCAGTGCCCCTCAGGGACTGTGGCTGCCTTGGCTGTTCACAGCTGGTGCTGTGACTTGAATTTGAACTGAGGTTGCTGCGGACAAGGGTTGGCTGGAGCCCAGTCTTGACCACAACCATGGAGCAGGTGTTGTAGCTCCTGGTGCAGCAGCAGGTGGCAGCAGCCAAAGAGGCTTGCCTACTGCAGCTGCAGGTACAGCTGAGGGAATAATGGAGGGCAGCAGGAGGACCACATGGTGCAGGCCTGGAAGGAGAGTGCAGGGGTCTCAGCAGTGGGTCTGGGATCCTCATGGATGCCCCAGATGACCCAGTACGATGATCCAGAGCTCTTCCTGGAGGCCTTTGAGGGAATGGCTGCATAGGCCCAATGACCCCGGACCACTTGGGCACCCACACTGGGACTACCACTGATGGGAGATGCCCAGAGGGCCTATGGGAGGGATACTGCTGGCTGATGCCACCGATTACAAGGTGAAGGAGGCCATCCTCCACTGGTGGGAGATAGCTGAGGAGCTGCATCACCAGAGGTTTCACAGTAAGAAAGCCTCTGGAGCATGGAGTTCCCTGGGCAGTTAGTCCATTTGCTCCATGACAAGGTGCATTGGTGGTTGTGGCAGCAAGAAAGAAACTTGGGGGAAGTAACGGAGATGATAATTTTAGAACAGTTCATTTGGGACTTAGAAGGGGGCATCAAGGCATGGGTCCAGCGGCACCAGCCCCAGTCAGTATAGGAGGCCTGAAGCTGGCTGAGGACTTCTTGGCAGCTGGGTGCAACCTTGCCCTAGAATGAGGGGTCATGAACCTGGGATCCAAGAAAGCAGGGATCCCTCATTCCCAGGGCCAGACTGTGCTGCAGCCTCCTCCCCCCCTCCCAAACCAGTGCAGGCAGCCCTTGCTTCTGGGGCAAGCTGTCTGGGCACTATGCCCATAATTTCATAGTGCTTAGGGTTGGAAGGAACCTAAACAGATCATCAGGTCCGACCCCCTGCCCTGGGCAGGAATGAGTGTCGGGGTCATAACACCCCAGCCAAGGATCTGTCCAGCCTCCTCTTGAAGACCCCCAAGGTAGCAGAGAGCACCAACTCCCTTGGGAGTCCATTCCAGAGCCTGGCAGCCCTAACTGTAAAGTAGTGTCTCCTGATGTCCAGCCTGAACCTTCTCCAACAATTTGTGGCCATTCTTCCTAGTAACCCCTGGTGGTGCCCGAGGTAACAGAGCCTCACCCAATTTCCTCTGGTCCTCCCTGGAGAGTTTGCAAACAGCCACCAGATCACCTCTCAGCCTTCTCCTGTGTAGCCTGAATAGATTCAGGCCCTTCAGCCTCTCTTCGTAGGGCCTGACTCGCTGCCCCTTGACCATGCAAGTGGTCCTCCTCTGGACCCTCTCAATGCTAGCCACATCCCTCTTGAAGTGTGGCGCCCATAACTGGACGCAGTACTCCAACTGTGGCCTGACCAACGCCACATAGAGGGGAAGGATCACCTCCCTGGACCTGCTTGTGATGCATCTATAAATGCACGACAAGGTGCAGTTAGCCTTGCTGACTGCTTCCTCGCATTGGCAGCTCATGTTCATCCTGGAGTCAACAATGACTCCACGATCCCTTTCTGCCACTGTTTTGACAAGAGGGGTGTTCACCAGCCTACAGGTGTGTTGCTGGTTCCTTCTCCCTACATGCAGTACCCTGCAATTGTCTGCATTGAATTCCATCCTATTCTCATCCGCCCACCTCTGTAACCTGTCTAGATCTAGCTGGATTCTGTCCCTCCCCTCCAGCATGCCCACCTCGCTCCACGTCTTGGTGTCATCAGCGAATTTGGACAGCCAGCTTTCCACACACACATCCAGATCTCTGATAAAGATGTTGAATAGTACAGGCCCTAGGACCAAGCCCTGGGGGACTCCACTGCACACACTGCTCCAGGTCGAAAATGATCTGTCTACCACCACTCTCTGGGTGCAACCATCTAGCCAATTTGTCACCTATCTGACTGTGCAGGCATCAATGCTGCAGTCACTACAAAAGACTACCAGGGGAGTGTGGAAGACCATCTGGGGAAAAGAACCAGCCCCCAGATAAGACCTTGCCCCAGTGGAATAGATGGAGTACAGGTTTAGTGATGGGCTGCATCCATGGGAGATGGGGCACTCAAAAGAAGGCTTCTGCATTACAGTTGAGGCCTGGCTGGAAGGCCAGCGGGTGACTGCTTTGGTGGGCACTGGCTCCATGTGGACAGTGGTCCAACAAGAGCTGGTGTGGGACGCAGATTGCTGTCAGGCAATGAGCTGGAGCTGGTCTGCCTCCATGGCAGGCCCCAGACCTACAAAAGAGCCTAGGTACAGCTAACTGAAAGGGCACACCCACCAAGTACTAGCATACCTAGCCAGGCACCTGGCTCACCCAGTGTTGTTAGGATTGGCCCAGCCTGTGGGAATCGTTGGGCACACTCACTCAGTGGAAGGCACCCTGGTGTAAGACCGAGGCTGTGGGTTCCTAGGGGAATCTCAGCCAAACACAAATTCTGGAAGCCTGACCCACGTTTGGGAGACCAACATGGACTGGCAACAGGAACTGGAGATGGGACAGTTCACGGTAGAGCAGTCCCTGAAGATGGATTCAGACGGGTATTTGAAGGAAGCATCACCCCGGTCGAGGAAGAGGTGGCACAACCTGATCTAGTACAGATGATACCCCAATTTGAGGTAAAGGGCATGGGGGAGGATGTCATACCAAGCAGACCATGGGCGGGGGCCAAGAAATGAGGTCTCTCAGCTCCTAGTCCTAAAGAGGTGCTGCAGAGCTCTGCTAAGAACTATCCATAAGCTCCCTACTGGGGGCTACTGGATGGAGGTAAAATCAAGAAGTGCCTCTTAGATATGTTTTTTGCCTGGGGATCCAGTGGGAGGTAGGGCAGTGTGGCAGGGCACTGTTGGTGCCTGCCACTTTAAGATCAGATCCAAATAGCCAGCAGGTGCTTGATCGCGGCAGCCATTTTAGATCCCTGGCTGCCTATATAAACAATTAAGTTGGCTGCTGGCAGGCCAGGTAGTAACATTGCCTGGCTGTGAGGCTTCATGCATCATTCTGCAGGTGAGGGAGGAGCTGTAGGGGATGGCTTGGAGGCTCCTGGTTCTGGGCATGACCTAAAACTGCACCCTGCTGGGAGTGGGTGGCCTGGTGGAGCTCTCAGTGGCACGGGAGCCCCGAGGAAATGCCAGGCCAGTTACCACCCTGGTGAAAGGTGGGTTGGGGCACCTTAACCCCAGCCCCCACAACCAGGTGGGTCACCTGCTACTAGGGCCCAGAGGGCAGACCCCAGGGAAAAGAGTGGGGCTAGAGACTCAGATCTGATAGAGAGAGTACCCTCAACTGGTTGATGCTGGGGCTAGGACCAGAATGGTCAAAAGGGCCAGGGGTCATCGTGAGGGACACCCAGAGCTAAGAGGGCCTGGGGTTTTCAACTGGCCTTGGAGGTGAGGCCAGGGCCTGTATGGCCAAAGGTCCTGGGGGGACCACACCTGAGAGGGGAAAATAGTTTCAGGGAGCTAGATAGCCTGAATTAAGGCAGGGTAGGCTGCCAGAATGGAGGGATCTTAGAGGGGTCCTGATTAGAGGAGTGTGGGGCTGGCGAGATTAACATCAGCGGATGCCATCTATGAGGCATGGGCTGCTGTGTAGGGGAGGTACGGAGCCACATATAGTGCCCCCTGGCATCAGGGCAAGAAATGGGCAGCCTCCCACCTAATTAAGATCATGAATTAATTAATAACAAGGCATGGCAGGTGAGGAGTTGGGCAGTTGGCCCAGAAACAGGTGGGTGGGCCAAAGGTAAACTGGCCCTGAGAGGACCCCCTGTTACAGGCAGTTTTGCCAGTCCTACCCAGAGTGCCAACTAACACTCTCAAACTGTCCCCTGAAAGCCCCACTGGTTGCCATGCTGCTCACGAAAGAACCATTTGAATAGGTGGCCATGGACATCATGGGGCCATTGCCCCAAAGTAATGCAGGGTTCAAATACACTTTGGTTCTGGTGGATAACGCCACCCAATATCCAAAGGTGGACCCCATGAGGACAGTGACCATGGGCAAAGTGGCAAAGGAACTGCTTAAGATATTTACCCACATGGGCCTGCCAAAGGAATACTAACAGATCGGAGCAGCAATTTTTTGGCTCAGGTGTTCAAAGAGGTCTGTGCTATGTTAAGAATCTGACACCTTCAAACATCCATTTACAACTCAAACAGATGGGCTGACTGAATGGTTCAACCAGACCCTTAACAGTACGCTTAAAAAAGTTACCAGGTGAGACATGCAGAGGTGAGATAAGCCCTAATGTTCACCTACCAAGAAGCCGCCCAGAGTACCACTGGGTTTTCACTATTTGAGCTATTGTACAGCCACCACCCCTGGGGAATTCTGGATTTGATCAAAGAAGGTTGGGAACAACAGGAAGGGTTGGCTTGAAGTCTAGTACCACATGTGCTGGAGACAAGGGAGAGGCAAACGGCCTAAGGTAGGCAGGCTGTCAAATACAATCAATGGGCATGCAAGAGGCAGTTCAATGAGGGTGATCGGGTACTAGTACTGCTACCTGATGTTGCCTCCAATTTTCTGGCCTGGTGGCAACGGACGTGCAAGGTGATACGACACACGGGCCCAGTGGACTATGAGGTACAGCAGCTGGGCAGGCATAAAACCCAGCAGCTATACCATATCAACCTCCTAAAGAGGTGGGTGGATAGGGAGGCCCTCTTTGTTGCTGTAAAGGGGTGGGGGGGAGGGACCCCCTGAGCCCAGAATCAGACAAGTTTGTTCTGGAAGTGCCAGAACAAGGCTCAGGATGGCCTGTCAAGATGGGTGAGGGGGGTTGACGCATGCAGCAGCAAGCAGCCCAGCTGGTACAGCAATTCAGAACAGTATTTTCAGACCACCTGGGGAAAACTCAATGGGTGGAACACCGGATCGAGACCCCACCAGGTGCTATGAAAGATTGTACGGGAGGACTGGTGGCAGATCCGCCAAAAACTCCAAGAAACTGTGCACCGGGAGGTCACCTAGATGCTAGCAGATGGGGTGGTAAGAGTATCTAGAAGCACCTGGTGAAATCCCATCAGTATAGTCCCAAAAAAGGACCATGAGGTTTTCCACTGATTTTTAGAAAAGTTAACAGCAGTGTCTTTTGGTGCTTACCCCATGCCTCGGCTAGAGGTCTTGCTGGAATGGATGTAGCGGGGAAGGGGCACAGTTTATCTCCATCATAGACAGGTGTACTGGCAAATACCCCTAGCAGCAAACTCTCAGGAGAAAACTCCATTTGCCACTCCATGGGGGCTTTATGAATTCATTCAGATGCCGTTTGGCCTACATGGAGCAGCAGCAATGTTCCAGCACCTGATGGATAAGGTGTTGGCACCTCACTGGGGATATGCTGCTGTATATATCAGTGATATGGTAATGAACTTGGAGACCTGGGAAGAACACCCATGACATCTGATGGCAGTGTTAAATGGACTACAAGCTGCAGGTCTGACAGCCAACGCAAAGAAAGAGGGCAACAGGACACCCAATATTCGGGTTTCTGAGTAGGGGGGGGAAATGCAACCATTTGTGGATATGGTGTAGGCCCTAAGGGATTATAACGTGTCATGAACAAAAAAAACAAATACAGTCCTTTCTGGGGCTGGCCAACTATTACTGCTGCCTAGTACCTTGATTTTTCAGACATATCCAGAAGCTGGATTTTGACCAAAGTAGAAAGTTTTACAGCCATCCAGTCACAGTCATTATAACAAAAATTACCTTTTCACTAAGTGAATATGAAAACATACATCTACATTCTTGTTCACTTACCCAATAGGCAGAGATAGTTTGGCTCAGTTAACCTGGTGAGGTTCAAGATATTGTAAAGTTCAGTGGGTTCACAAAGAACCAATCCTGCCATGTTGCTGGGTGGATATAATAATGAACAATCAAAATACTCCAAGAAGGCGAGTCCTTGAGAATCTAAATAATATTTAAAATCACTTTTTTTATATGTTATATTTCATCAATGAATGAAAACAATCACTTCAGACCCTGGCTTGTCCTTTGGGCCATGTGGGATATTGACTCCATGAGGCAGTGATTCTCAACCAGGGTGAAGATTATTTTAAGCGGGTTGCAGGAAGTGTGAGGAGATAAACAAATACAGGCAGACTCCGGCTTCAGGAGTGAGGAGATAAGCAGAGGGAGGCAGGCTCATGCTCCCCCACTGCCTGTCCCTCTGTAAGGACATAAGCCCTGCAATTAATAAATTAGCTTTTGAACTGGGGTGCTGCTCAGTTCCCCAAAGTGATGCAGAGCAGTGCCTTGAGTGTGAAAAGGCTGAGAACCACTGCCACAAGGACTGCAGGGGCAGAGGCCTTAACAGAGAGAGAAGAGGCCAGAATTCATCCTGAAACACAATGCCACCTTCAGCTGTGGAAGATAAAGATGGCCAGTCACGGTCAGAGCATCTGAACCCGCCTGCGTGACCCCGGCAAGAAATGACAGAGAAGGATCCAGCTGCCATTTTCTCAAAATAGTTTGGGGGGGTAAATGCCCTCTGTGAAGGAACTCGCTATTCAGGGCTGCTCCTGGGTGGTGCCGAGGGTGGGTGCTCAGCAGAACAGGTCCAGGTGCCTTGCCCGGGTTGCTTGCACCTGCACCGGTGCCTCTGACCTGCCGCCCCTGGGGCAGCGGTCGCCATGGCAACCCCTCCCATGCCATCCTCAGCGGCGGTTGCTATGGCACCTATCATCGGTTACCATAGCAGCTGGACCAAACAGGGGGCCTGTCACCTCTTTCCCCGAGGCGTCCACTGTCCTGGCCCCGCAGGAGGCGATCGCTGGAAGAAGGACCCTCCGAAGCCACCCGGCCCGGCCCACCCCCACCCCAAGCCCGAGCTGACCGCCCGGTTCCTACAACACGCGCTCCGCGGTAACCTAGGCTAACGTCAGCGGGGAAGACAAGCCCGCTCCCCTGCAAATCTCGCGATGTCTGGGTGGGAGGTCTCTCGCGGCATCTCGCTCGGGGCCCGCTGCCAGGAGATCTCGCCTGGTTTGGCGACGGGATTCTCGCGGCTCGCGGTGTGAAGTCTCGCGGCGCCGGCGCGGCCCGCCCTCTCACTGTGGAGGTCGTTGGAGTCACAGCCACCCCCGCCATCGCCGCTGCCGCCGCCATGCTGTGCCGCCTC